GTAGGTATGAGAGACCAAGCAAGGAGGTTGGTTGTTCTGTTGGTTTGCTCTCCCTGTCCTGCTTCGCAAAACTACCTTGTCACAATGCAGGGAAAAACTTGATGGTACATATTTATTGGAACCTGTTTTTAAATGCATGGAGTTGTGACCATTTTCTTTTGTCAGTTGTCCTTCTATAGCAAATGCATAGTGGAAAATGTAGCAAAAACATTAAGAAGCTGTTAGTGATTCCATTATGAATGGCTTTTTGCAGGTGCTCATCTGTTTTTATGTGTATGTGTTTGGTGTTTCTTTTGCAGTAGCCCCCTTGACTTTGATTGAAAATGGACTCTTTGCAACACACGGTGACCAAGGGACATGACCAAGGTGAAGATGGCCTGGGATCTTCACTCATCTTGCTGGAGATACTGGACTAAGTGAAACATTCTCTACCTTCAACCTGCGCTCACTGCATGATTAGTGCAAAAACACTCCCCTCTTCATGCTTATTGAGATATTCTGGTGTTTTTGTGGAAAGTGTAAATCTGCTTAAGATGCTGTGCTTACCTTCCCCTGAGCTGAGGTGGTTCCTTCTTACTCAGAGTCTGTGTGGGAGCCGTACTGTATTTGTGCACACTACACATTTGAAGCTCCGCACCACCTGAAAACTATTAGTAAAGGTAACAAATGTTGCAGGACAACACTTGACCTTGTTAGAAGGTCGACTTTCTGCATGCAAAACAAGAGCAGTGAGCAGAGGCGTGGGTTCTCTGGGACTCTGTACAACTCCCCTACGCTTACACTAACGGTAATTGGTATTTGGTTAAAGGTATTCCCATGGAACTGGTTATTACTGCCTGAAGAAACAGGGCTTTGAATATCTAAGATGCTGTTCTTAATCATTTTCAGAGATATTTTCAAGTTGCAATCAGGAGATCTTTCTTATTAGAAAGTCCAGTTGTCACTGTGGTGGCTGTGACATCCCCTTGATATAATTAATTTGCTCTGTGGTAAGATATATGCTAATTATTACCACTCAGAAGATGTTGTTAAAAACTTATGAAAGATATGTATGGGAAAATGTACACCCCTAAACAGAAAGGAATTATTAAAATAAAGTAATTTACAAACCTCTCAGCACTAATTAGTGTCCAACTCTAAGTGGGTCAATTCCTTAGGATAATATAAAAGGCTTATTAGTATCACCACTTTTCTCTTTTCCTTAGCCTAATGACTTACTTAGAATTTGTCCTTCCTTTATTTTAAATTATCTGTACTATCTAGCATGCAAATAAAACACTATTATCCAGAGAAATAAGCCACGTCCTCACCCTCTCCCTTCAGCCCTTGAACACCCGTCTGATCCTTTCCCTCATCCTCTACATGCTTCTTCCAAAGGGAAGGAGAACTCATTGAGTCCTTTTGAGGGTGACTTGTCTTATCACTGAGTTGGAAGGAATTTAATTAGGTTATCACATATGGTGATGAGACATATGGAGCACGACTCTCCCCACTGCTGCTTAAAACACGAGGACAGGTGGTCAGAAGCCACCACTTCTGACCAGTTTGTTGCCACAGTGGCACTTGGGTGTGGCAAGTAGAAGGCCAATCATCTCCAAATCTTGTTCTCTGTATACTTTTGTTTTGAGTCTTCATCCCTGGCTCATTTTGTGGCTTTTATGACAGTGAATTTATTGTGGAATTTTGTGATCCCTGGTGGCCCATGTCCTGAATCCCCAACCTGTTTGCCATCTTGCCTCTTCCCTCCTCCCGAGAAGCAGCACACATTGTATTAACTTATGTCTCTTGTTAAATGAGGATAATGTCTTTGTGTTCTGTCCAAAACTATATTGAAAAAGATAAATATTATATTGTTTAATGCAAATGAAGGAATGCAATAAAGAGTAAATATACTTGAAAATGTTCGTAGGCAGTATTTCATGTAAAACAATCACCGACAGACGCTTATGAAGAGGAAGGAGGTCCAAAAAGAAACCTCTCTGTTTTCTTACAGCTAGCCAAAGGAGGTGGAGGATTTTTGTTTTAAAAATCTCTTATTTAGTACAGTTATTTGAAAAGAAAAACAGATCACTAGCATACCAAAATGCTGAAAAACAGCAAGAACCTATATACTTGTGCTTTATGCTTATTTTATCTTGGAAAACAGAGCCGTAAACAAATTTTAGCAAGAAACCAGAGCAGAGAAGGCTGTTTCTGTTAGAACCACTCCTTCCTGTGAGATGTGCACCCCAGCACCCTCAGTGAGATTTCTTCCGTGGGTCATTTTGGTGTCCTTCATGGTTTTTACATTTTTTTTCTGAGCTATTATGTTCCAGGCTGATCCCTGATGCTTGACACTGGCCCAGATTAGGGCAAGGGGTAGCTCAGAAAATCAGCAGGAACTTCAGCAGCAGGGTTGGCTCCCCAGGACCTCAGAGGGGAGGACCCTGAGGCCGGCTGGTCCCCACCTTGCCTTCAGAAGGTGGGTTCTGGAAGTGCGTGGGTATGCAGCGTGGCTGGTGAGCACAGGCAGACTCCACCCGGCCACTGCCTTGGAGGCCATTGCCTGTGGGTGGCTTAAGCAGCCACTGGGCTGCCAAAAGATGTCACTAAAAGGGGGAAAGGGGTATTTTATCCTTATTAGATTTTGACATCTTCACGGTGATACTTTTTAAAAAAAATTTAATAAGAACACTAATTGTAGTTAATATCCAATGTAAGTTTTGCTTTAAGGCTGTCTTTCTATAGCTTAAAAATTATTCAATAGCCAGCCCTCTAAGTTTTGGCCACGTATCACAAAATCGTGGAATAAATTCAAGTGTGTATAATAATCAGATCCCGGTCAGAAGCCTTGCCGAAGCACTGAGTCCATTCTGATCACCCGCCCAGCCTGAACGGGGCAGCGGCAGAGGCAGGCTTTCGTTTTCCTTGCCTGGCAACGTGGTCTGCAGCCTCTTCAAAGAAGTGACTAGGCTAGGTGTGTTTGAGAGTTCAAAAAAGAATGTAAATTTCAGAAGTTATTGCAAAACGATCTAAAGTTTCTCATCAGCTGGCAGGCTGTGCCGAGACTGGGTCCCAGGGATGAGCCCACAAAGGGCATGTGCCACACGGACACCATGGTGTTGAGATGCAGAGATAGCACCTGTGATCGGCTCGAATCCCAAGTAGGCGAGGATGGAATTTGCAAGGAGGACTCAGGTTTGAGATTTTCCCAGCACACAGTCTCCACATAACTGACTCTGCCTCGCTCTTTTGTGAGAGTGATTAGTGGTCTTAGAAAGTTCTCCATTAAGCTGGAATTGAGGACAGCAGAGCAGCCATACTTAGCTGAACTGACCTCCCTTGTGTATAAAGCAGCTGCCACATCAGCACAAGTCCACATACCCAGGGCCACATGGAGACTGAAGGAGATGCATCTAGAATAATCCCACAATCAGGGTTCCCCTTGCTTTTCTCGGCTTTTTCTACTTCCTTACCTTCTCTCCTTTTGCCTATGTTTCTACCTCCTCCTTAAACTCATGCACTCTTCCCTTCTTTCTTCATAAAATAATATTGCTTGAGGGCTGGGGATATAGCTCAGCGGTAGAGCACTTGTCTAGTAAACATGAGGCACTGGGTTCGATCTGCAGTACCACATAAAAATAGGTAAATGAAAATTATGTCCATCTACAACTAAGTGTGTGTGTGTGTGTGTGTGTGTGTATGAAGTTCATGAACTTTGAGTGGCCGTTCCTAAAGTTAAGAGATTTGGCCTGGCACAGTGATGCACACCGGTAATCCTAGTGACTCAGTAAGCTGAGGCAGGAGGATCTCAAGTTTGAGGCCAGCCTCAGCAATTTAGTGAGACCTTGTCTCAAAAATATTTAAAAACGAGCTGGGGATGTGGCTCAGTGGTAGAGTGCACATTGAACTCAATCCTCAGGCTTCCAAAATAATAACAACAACAAATAGCAATAATAGGTGTGGAGGCGGGGGGCACAGACAACCCATTTCCACTGCCCAAAGTAGACAGTGGTTTCCTGGTATTATGTTTTTATGAAGTGAGGTAACATTTGTTCCTAATAGAGGTAGATGAAGAGAGAGAAAAAACAATTCAGCTATTCTCAAACAATGTGCCTAACAAACTGAAGAGGTGGCATTTTATGGGCAGGTCTGAAACTAAAGGACTGTGTATTGTTGTAAAATTGAGTGAAAGCATTCTGCCATCGAAAACTCAGAACTTGGGAGCTTCGAGTGAGTCCTTTGGAAGCCCCAGTCCAAGGAGAGAAAACCATTTCCCTGGAGCATACCCACCTGTTCGTCCTTCTGCCCAAACTAGCCTACAACTTCAAATGACACTTGTTCCCGACCACCCAGAGCCCAGGGCACACCATTTCTTCTCGCTGGCCAACCTACTTCTACAGCTTGGCTTCTGCAGGAGAACTAGCAGGATGGGGCCATCTCCAGTCAAGTTACATTTTCAATTGCGCAAACTCCAACAAATGGAGTTGAAAATATGGTGAGGAAAGAATTAAGGCAGTATCCAGCCCCCTGATCTGCTGGCCTTGGGCCACTTCTTTTAGGAGTATCTGGGACATTAATGTCTACATCAAAAATGCTTGAATCTGGGCTGGGGTTGTGGCTCAGTGGTACATTGCTTGCCTAGCATGAGTGAGACACTGGGTTCCATCCTCAGCATCACATAAAAAAAATATATATGTAAACAAAATAAAGTATTATCTACAACCAAAAAAATTTTTTTTAAATATTTGAATCAGTGAAATGAATTTCAGCCCAAATTCCTTGATAGAAGTTGACTTACAACAAAATAAGCCCTTAAGAGAGTCCTGAAGTACATCAGACCTACTATCCATGACATCGCAGAAGATCTTACTTAGAGAATAGAGGAAAAGATCTTAATTTGGTCACTTAATTAGCTTAGGCTACCACATTCAGAATGTCATATTCTTGACCTGAGCATGAATCTGGAAACTCCACACATGGTACAATGTATCCATTTTAAGTTTGTTTACCTTCTCTTTAATGGCTTAACAGAAAAAAACTGCATGATGAAATATATTTTCTCCAAATATATATATATTTATATAATATATAATCTTAGTTAACTCAAAGGTATATACATTGTATAATAAATAATATTTATAAAAAGAGACTTTTTGAATATAAAATCAAAAAGATCAACAACTTCTACAACTTTTTACAAAACTTTGGATACAGCAGGTTGGTAGGAAATTTCCGTTGGATACTATGACCTGACTACAGCGAGAATAATTACAATGCACTCATGAACTATTATTAAATAATTACTTGTCAGCTACTTGAATACGTCCCCAAAACATGACTTTATCACTTTTAATATAGAATACATAGATATGAAAAGACTGTTTTAAAAATTTGTATCCATTCTGCTGAAATATTCGCACATAAAGCAAGCATTAACCGGTTGATGTGATTTAAAACTTTTCAGTCTAAGATGAGATGGGGAGGAGCGTCTGGGACTCTAGAGGGGTGGGATGTGGTTCTTTAGCAGGCCTCATGGCCGGCAGGTGCAAAAGGCCAGGCAGGCTTTAAGATGACAGTTTGGCAAGCCTGCCTGCACAAACTGGGAATCACTGACCAGGTACCTTAGGTGAGGGTTAGATAGACCCAAGAGAGAGGGAGAAAGGAAAGACAAATCTTTATTTTGCTGTTTCCCTGTTGTGATTCTCCTTAAGAGAGTCGCCAGATTGATCAGGACTGTCAAAGCCATCTGCCTCCATTTGGTTCGCCGCCTCCAGGACACTCACCAGGACTGGTGTGCATCAAGGAGCACTCTGCTGGGGGATCTCCCCCCGGGAGCAAGTGACTGCTTGCCCACTTTGAACACCTAATCTAGATCCTTGAAACCATAAGCGTTGGTACTATCTCACATGCAGGCAACAGGGAAGAGCGTGTTAAAGAACTCTGCATTTCTGTTTACTCACAGAGACCATAGAGAGAAGGTGGCAGGAGAACCTGGTCTGATTAGAGAGGAAACCCTGATATCTCTCTCTCTCTCTCTCTCTGATGACCTGAAGTCCTACTGCTCTACCTGGAATTGTTTTTTATGGAGAATCTGCAGGTAAGCAGGACTAGGATTGAAAAGTCCCCTCCAAAGACACTGCTTGTTGCTGTAGGAAGCCATTTGAGCTGGAGAAGACTTGCCCCCCTACATGACCTATTTACAATGCCCACTACCCAAAAAAAAAAAAAAATCTACTGCATTAACGATGGAAAGTGCAGAATGGTAGAAAAAGATTTTGAGATCTGACGGCCTCTCATGCAGAACAGGGTTATAGAGAAAGTGAGACTGAGAAGAACTCGGCTGCTCTTCAAACAGCTTACCAGGGCACCAGAACTAGTTCTTCAAAACTCAAAATCCTCCTCTAACGATCGCCGGGACCTCCCCACCACTCCATCCTAGCTAAACCTATGGCTTTTATCAGAATGTGAAAGTGTATCAGATTTGAATGGGAGTCGACAGAAAAGGAGACTGCAGGGGTTTGTCCTACTTTGTAACTCCCACCTCACAGGCATCTTGGAATGTCACCATCAGAAGCAGCTTGGAGACAGATTCTTGCCCACGCTCATGTCCTTCCCACCAGGCCGAGAGCTCACATTAGCCCAGCCTGTTCTGTTGGAGTAGATTTTTTTTTTTTTCATTTTTATTTTCTTTAACATGTGCAAAGGTAAGCCTCGGGTCTGTTCCTACCAGACCCTGGAGAACTAAAAAGAAAGCCCCTCTGTAAAAACCACACACCGTCCAGAGCAGGGTGAGAAATGTGAAGATGGGAGAGGGGGGAGCGCCTCCCATCGGCAAACTGGCGGGGTCCAGGTCACTTCCCACGTGCAGTTGGCAACAGTCCACGCTCCTTGCTGGCCGATGCCAAGGGTTGGCCGGCTCTAGGTCCTGCTTCCCGTGGGACTTCGGTGAATCCGCCCAGCCGCACACTTTACCCCTTGCCAGTGTCCTTTGGGAAAACAAATGGGAAGAGTCAGAAACCTCATTCCTCTCCCAGAGGGACCACCCCTAGGGGTGCAAAGATCAGAGGCAATGACAGGAGATCTCGACACTTCTTTTATGCTTAGAGAGGAGGGGCCCTGGCTTCCCCATGCTCGGACCTCCAGCCTGCCAGAGGGAGGGAGGTCACAGAAATCCTATGTCCCCACTGCCAGCTGAGGGCCTTGGGCACCAGGAGGCCAGGTGACCACCCTAGTGCAGGAACTCGCCTTGTGCAGAGATGGAGAAACCTCGCCCATCTGAGTGCTGGTCCCCAACCTCGAGTCCACTCCCAGGCTGTGCAAGTGCCACACACAAAGTGCTGTGTGGCACTGGGTAGCCTGATGATGAGCTGTCCAAATGGCAGAAAGTCTAACTATGCATACTTCCTTCCCGTGCGTGCACCAAGGGGTACGTGCACTTCACTCACCTGTGGAGTTCTATCTCACAAAGCATGGAGGCACAATGCCGCTTCACAGGCATTCCCAGCCAACCCTCAGCTCCTCCGGGAGCTGACAGGGCCAGGACCAGACTCTACAGAGGTCAAACAGGCTCAGCAGGATTACAAAGATACGCCCAAGGTCCCACAGCAGGGCCTAGGGTCAGTCAGGCCACTTGACATGTCCAGAGTCTTTCTAGTTCTCTGTGGTCCCAACATGGGAATTATAAGGAATAAATCTGGTACTTGTGGTACCAGTGTTAAGGTACCAACCAGTGATTAACTGGAGGCACTGGACATAACTAGGAGTGATAGGAAAGGTGTTCACCTCACAGGAAGGACCCAGGCAGGACTTTTCCCTTCCTGGACCAAGCCAATGTGACTGGGGCTCTCCCCCAAGTGTGAAGAGGGTGTGTGGCTCTATGATTACCTTTTCTACCTGCACTGCCGACACTCACAGGGTAGCCAAGAGAAATCTGGAGGCTCTGTCCCCTGCAGTCCCTGTCAGTTTATCTCCTGGGCACACAGCAGCGTCCACATGGATGAAAGGATGGGAAGAAGTAACCAGGACTCAGCTCATCTTTGGCCTGTGGCTCCAAACCAAGCAGCAAAAAGCCACTCTTGGTCACCCTGCTTGGCCTGGGAATCTCAGCTGCCTCTTCAGGAACACAGGACCATGGGCCAAACTCTTCATGTACATGGTTGAGTGCAAGGGACGGTCCAGCGAGACGTGGCTCAGTTCACAAATGAGGAGAGCAGGACTGAGAGAGCAAAAGAGCTTGCCTGGATCACCTGACAAGCTGAGTGTTTATGAAAAAGCCACCACAGTGGGAAATGTTATGTACTTGTCCCCATGTAGGGGGGGCCTAAGAATGTGCGGAGAAAAGAGGCCTGATGAAGAGCACAGATTTTATCTTACTTTATTTGTTGTTTTTTTCTGTGTGTGTGTGTGGGGGGGCGGTGCAGAGGATGAACTCAGGGCCTCTGAATGCCAGGAAAGTGTCCTCACCAAGCCACACTCTTTTCTTCTTAGGGTCAGTATTAGTAGAGAGCGTGGAATTGGGGGATGTTCTGGACACTGAGGGCCAACCCAACACCTCCTTCCTCGCCTGGCAGATCTTGGCTGCCACAAAGGGCAGGAACAGAGCTGCGCCCTGCCCCCTGGAGCCACCAATGGGACTGGGCACTGCTGCTGTGGCCTCGCTGCAGCCATAACTCGCTGTGTCCATTGGGGAAACAGGCAGGCTGACCAAGGGCCCTCTCGGGCCCCATCCAGTACTAGTGTTCTGAAACCCTGTTGTCCCCACAGCCTCTTCTCAGGATCACCAGAGCTATGTCTCACTTAATAGATGGGACACATGCTGCCTCTGGTCCTGGTGAGCACCAGAAGCTGGTCACTGTGGTTTTCAAACATTCCTTCCACCTCGACAGGCTACAGCTGGCTGGTGAGTCCTCCTCCTCGTTGACTCTTCTTCTATCGTTTTGCAAAGCAGTAAATGAGGCTGCCAAAGTAATGCTGCCATTCCTTTGCACAATGCCTGCCCTGTGTCAAGGCTCTGAGAGTGTTTACCACCCTTCATTAGTGTTGTGTTCAGAGAAGCATTCCCATCTGTTAGCTAATTTGAGCCTCCAATAAATTGGGTTAGGCCCCAGTATCACCAGCACCATACGAATGAGGAAGCTGGGGATCTGCGGTTGGACAGCTGGCAAGTGGTGGCACCAGAGCACACCTTTGTCCTCTTCCCCTCCCCACACTGCTTTTATCCTGATGCCAAGTAAGGTCATGCCTTTGGCTGCCTTCCTGGGCTCTGTCCCTGTCAGGGCATAACTTGACCTTCCCAGAGGGACTTCCTGAGAAGAGGGTCACCCCTCAACCGAGCTATTCCCCATGCTGTCAGGTACCTCCCATCCCCCTCCAAGCCCCACACAGCACAGACAAGCACACCAGCTCCAAGGCACCTGGCACCGAGTGGGCTACTCTCCCCCAAACCTGCCCTGGAAGCCATTACCAAGCAGGCAAGTGCTTCTCAATTGACCCAGCACTGTCCCTGGTGTTCTTCTACCTGCTGCTCATGGCACCTCTGGGGAGGATGACAGATAAGGAAACAGGTCAATGAGGAAGATCTTGTCTGGGTCACATGGTTGACTTGTCCAGGGCTGGGCCTAATTCCAAAGCCTATGCTCACGCTTCTATGTACCAGAGCCCTTCTCAGGAGAGAAGAGGAAGAAAGGCCTCGCGGGCCTAAGAAACCTGCCAGGCCAAGGCTCCAGGACCACTCTGCATTCGTGGTGACCTATCCTGGTGTCCTATGGGTCCGAGGGCCAGGGCATGAGGCCTCCCACGCAGACCACCTCTGGGAAGCTTGGGAACACAGTCCACCAGCCTTTGATCCCTAGATTACTCATCGTAGTCTCTCTGAACTTGAATCCCTCCTCCTCCCCATCATCATCATCCATAAACTCCATGAGCAGCGTGCTCCCCGCTCCACCCAAGCTTCAGATCTGTCAGGATACGGGCTTATCCGACACTCCCCACCCACCTCCCTGACATTGGAAGGGTTTATGTTTGTGCAAAAACTTGCCCTCTAAGTTCAAGGTAGGTACAAAATGATTCTACCCCAGTTAGAAGAGATTTCGGCCCACTATTTCAGGTATTTTAACCTCCTCATTTGATAGCAAGAAAAATGAGGCCCAAGAAGTAAAAGAACAGAAGTTAGAAACAAAGTTGGGCCAGACATCAGGTCTCCCAGCTCCCAAGCCCATAGTGCCTCTCTTCTAGCTCCACAGGGGCTCAGTAACGATGGCCAGTGGCCAAGCAAAAATCTCATCTGGCTCATAATTTACTAATTTGTATAAGAGTTTTAATCAATTGCTTGTGGCCTACTTGGTTATCTGTGCTTTATATAATCCACCAAGTTGCTGCCCAAGAACCATTTCTACTGAAACTTGGGAAGTCCTGGCTCCTAATTTTGGCTGTGGGAACTTTTGTGACTTGGGTAGCTCATAAACAGGATGGGCTGCTGGGCGAGGCGGCCTATGCCTGAAATCCCAGTGACTCGGGAGGCTGAGGCAAGAGGATGGCAAGTTCTAGGTCAGCCTCAGCAACTTAGAGAGACCCTGTCTCAAAAAAATAAAAAGGGTTAGGGATGGAGCAAAAAAAAAAAGACAGGGCAGCTCAAGTGTCCCCTTCCCGCCTCTGAGCCCTACCTGGCTCTCTACTTGCAGGTGTGCACATCGTAGATGCGGATGCACTCCTGGCAGCTGACGTAGCAGCACCAGTGGAAAATGCAGTGGCACTTCTCCTTCCGCTTCTCGGTCCTCGTGTTATGGCCTCGGCCACAGCAAAGCAGATCACAACCATCAATGCCATGGGAGGTGACATTGCAAGTCCGGTCCCTGGTGCCAAAGGAGCCCGTCTCTGGGTTGGGTTCACAAAAGTTGGGGGAGTTCTCATAGTAGACCAGGTCCCTCTCGGTAGGTGGCTTGAAGAGCGCGTACTTGGCCCGGAGAGTCTCCACCCAGCCTCGGGACTCCCGGTGCTTCTCCACCACCATCTCTGAGGCACTGTCATACTTGTCCTTGAGGAAATCCCCGATGGCACGGAAGTCAGGCTGGGCCCACCAGCAGGTCTTCACCTCGCAGCTGCCCGACAGCCCATGGCACTTGCACTTGAGGTGCATGTGGTCCAGGATGGTCTGGGGAAGAGGAGTAGCAGTTGGCTCCCAAACTGACCCCATCCAGGAGCACCTTCCCACTCTGCCCCACCCACCCACATTCTCCCAGCCTCCTTTACTACTCTGTGCCAGGAAGAGACTGGATGGGGACTGAGGTATGGATCCAAAGGTTCTACTTTTCCTCATCACACCCCAAGCAGACATGACAGTTCATTTCTCAAAGTGGCAGGAAATAGACATTGTTATCCCCATTTAACAGAGGGGGACACTGAGGCTGGGAGCTTTGGTTACTAGCCTGGGGTCATACACCCACAGGAAAGGATGGAGGCAGAATTCCAAGACAGCTCCACAACTACACACCCAAGCTGGGGTTCTTGCTCCTATAGGGTGACCACACCTCCCAGCCGACTCATCCCCTAGAGATCAAGAACAGCCCAAGGAGGAAGGAGGGTGGACAGAATGGGTGGCTGTGGGGTGTGGCTGGGAGCCAAGCCTGGCCAAAGGGAAAGGGGAGCCAGATGCACAGGGCCTCTAAACGGGTCAAAGCCAGGCCAAGGGCAAGACTGGGGTCCCAGGTGCGATCCCAGCAGGGTTGGGGCGAGGGCAGCCGCGGCTCACCGTGCGGCCTGCCTCGTTGTTGTGTTTATTCATTGCCGAGCGCGCATCTGGCCTGTTCTCACGAGCGTCTGCGAACTCCCGGGACACTAGCACCCCGAAATCGGCGTCTTCGCTGCAGCCGCCCCACTTCCAGCCTTCGCCAGGTGGCCCCTTATGATGAGAATCGCAGCCGCAGATGGTGGAGGTGCCCTCGGCGCAGGAGCGCGTGACAGCGAAGGCCACGCCGGCTGAGGCGATGGCATGCACGAAAGCCGACTCGCGGGTGGCTGCGGGGAGGACGTAGGGAAGCAGCGCTCAGGTCCGAGCCTGGGATGCACCAGCCCTGCCTCCACCTCCCCAGCCAAGAGGAGGAAGAGGCTGGGGAGGTGGAGCGTTTAAGAGCTCACCAGCCGCTATGGAAGAATGAGGAACCGCGGTGCCCTTCCTAACCTCCTCTTTGTCTGGTCCAGACCCTGTGGGTAGCCCCAACTTTCCAATGAGCAACCTGAATCCCAGGGTCCCAAATGCTGCTACCAGGCAGAGCAGACTGTACAAACCGAGCTCCTGGCGGGCGCTGAGGGGGTAAGGTAGCCATGCTATCTTGCCCCTGGCCACCTGCCTTTCACCCTCCCAAACTCCAGACAAGCCAGCACAGTCCTGAGCCCTCCACTCCAGGACAGTTTGAGCCTAAACATACCCAAGCCACCCATTTCCCACCTGCATGTGCTTGGCAGACGTTTTAAACTTTGGCTGAGCCTCCGTTACACTCTTTGTAAAATAGGTACAGCTTCTCCCTGCCTTCTCACCAGGACAGCAGGGGCTGGTGCCTCCGTCTTCCCCTCTCCCTTCCCTACCCCCACCCCAAAACCGAGGTTTTAAACTGAGAAGGTCAAGATCCTCCCATAACTAGGCACAGGTCAGTTACTCTGGCTCTGCCCCACGGGTATTTCTCAGGGGCGAACCTTATTACAAGGCTAGCCCTTTCAAATGTTGGGTATGCACAAATGCTGCGCTTCGTGTTTGTTTTCCATTTTAATGTTCTTAACGCTACTTTATAGATTCGGACGCTGATGGTTAGGGAGGCAAAGGGCTGCTAGACTTGCAGTCTAACATCTCTCTCCTTGTAAATGAGGACCCTAGAGGGGAAAGGGGACGGGCAACCTTGCACAGGAGGCCGGCCTCGGAGCCAGAACTCCTGCCTCCTTTCCTAGGCCGCGGCTACGGTCCAGAGTGCTGGGAGCGATGGAGCTCCACAGATGAGAAAGTAGCCCTTGAAGCCATTGCTGCCTCCCTGGGGCCCGACACCCTCCAGGGCCACCTGCAGAACAGTCCCACTGGCACCAACAACTAGCGGGGAGTGCGAGCCCGAGTCCACACATTGAACCCGCGCAGCGACCGCGAACCCGACGGCCGCGGCATGGGACTGTGGGCCCCGGCGTCCATCCCGGTCTCGGGCTCCCCGCCGCCCCATCCCAGACCCTCCGGGCCTGGGCGCCCGCTGGGAGGGGGCCGAGGACGAGCTCGCGGGCGGGTGCCCCTGGCTTCCGGCGACCCTCGGCCTCTCACGGCGGCGGCGGCGCCCGGCCCGGGGCTGCGCTCGGTTCCCAGCCCCGGGAACGCGGGGGCGGCGGGGGCGGGGCGGGGATTAGCCTGGGAGCGGCGCTGACAGCCCCGCTGTGCCGGTCCCCGTCCGGCGGGGCCCGCTGGGCCGCTCAATCCGCCTTTGTTCGCGCGGTGTCACACCGCATTACCCGCATAATGCGGCCGCCGGGCCCGGGCCGCCGGGCCGGCCGCCACCGCGTAGCAACGGGCGGCTCCCGCGGCCGGGCCGCGCCCCCGGCCCCGGCGCCGGCCGCGCGATCCCCATTGAGCTGGTGGCCCCCGCCCCCGCTCCGCGCCGAGTGGCCAGAGGGCGTGTGAATGGCGCGGCGGCCGCGGCGGGCCCGGCCGGGGCGCGGCGGGGGGCGGCGCTCACGCCCTTTGGGAGCTGCGCAGGGATAGAGGCCTCGGGCTCCCGCGCTGCCACCGGCACCCGACCATGGCGGCCTCGTCCCTTCCCGCCGCCGACCCCTCCAGACCCTCCAGGCCGCTCCTCTCTGCCTTCAGCCTGAGCCCCAGGGCTCCCCTCCGGGCCGGCCCAGACCCTGGGGTTGCACTCGGCTGGCACCTACGACGCGCGCCCTGAGCAGCCGGACTCTAGGTCGTCTGGATCTCAAGGCGGTGGGCAGAGATTAAACCTTGGCTGCCCACATAGCCGGAGGCCGCGGGCTTGCCAACGGGTGCAAACTTTTTTGTGGTGGGGGGGCGGTGTTCAAACGTGGGGTGGAGGCAGGTTGGAGCCCGGGTTCACCGCCCGCGCGCCAGGCTCTGGGGCGCGTGGGCGCTTCCCGGAGACTCACCCCACCGCTTTCATCAAAGTCCCAGCATCTCTGACCTACACTCTTTGCCCCCGCAACACAAACCCGCCCTCTTGCAGTTTAGGGACGAAGGCATGTGCCAGACCCACAAAGGTGATTTAGAACGTCAAACAATGTGAGCGGGCCAAAAGCTCAAAGACCCGCTTCTCACCGGCTAATGTCCGCAGCGGGAAGAGCAATCAGAAGGTTGGGGAGCGCGTCGCGACGCCAGGCTGTTTGATTAAGCGCTACCTGGCCCAAGGTGGGGCAGCGGAAGCCAGTGAGACCCACACGCCAGCGAGATCGGGATTGAAATGCAAGCAGCAGCCACTTGGCCCCAATTAGAGACCAAACCTTTTATCTAAACAAGGAATAATTAGCTTTGGTCATAGAAGCGTAAACAGAATCATCATCCATTGATTTGCTAATTGCCCTCCTATCCTGTGATATTAGCCAACATTTTGCCTGTAGGTCTGATAGACCCTGTGCACCTGAGGCACAGGTAAAGGGGTATTACACTCAAAAAATGGGAGTAGTCAGTCTCCCCACCCCCATCCAGCCACTGGGCACCCTGAGGACTGGCACTGGGATACCTTTTCTTTCTGGTGTAAATGCAGCTTTCAATGCCTTCTTCTAAAAGGAGAGGAACAGTTTGGGTGGAAAAACTCCAGTTGAAGGGCAAGGCTCAGCTAGTTATTAATTTCCTGGACTCTGCAATTCCTCCAAGAATTGCCCATCTTTTGCCCAGAGCCTGAGAGACCCAAAGGCCCCTTATTGGGAGTAGTTGTCCCATGCAGCCCTCCCTCCATTGAATTGGGACCCCCAAGTTCAATCTCAAATCACCTTACTCTTAACCACCTGAAGCACAGCCAATTAGAACCCCAGGTTACAAGACTGCTGGAAAGTTACCTAAAAGCCAGTGTGCCCATCGTGGTTTGTGGGCGCATCTAGTTTGCAGGGCATGGGACTAACAGAAACTCTTAGGGGATACCTGGGGGCAATAAAATGTTCTCAGCACCAGGCAGCTTCCTCAGCTCCTGAGGACTTCCCTGTGGGGTGGCAAAGCCCCACCCCCTCCCCAAAGGGGCATTTGCATAGCACTTAGCACAGCCTTAAGGAAATGTCCCAAATGTCCACATCAAAGCCTGGAGTACCTGCTGTGCAAGACAGGAAGGAAGGCTGCAGGGTTTCCTAGTGCCTGCCCTCAAATCTCCTGGATCCTGCAGCATCCGAGGGCTGCCCAGCCCCCAGCAACACTAGAGAAAGTTGTGGCGGGACTTGGAGACAGCCCAGAGGAGGACCCAACCCACTCCCACTTTCCATGGAGGCCACTGATCATCACCAGTTTTATTGCCTTCCACTGCACTCAAACCTGAAGCACCCTGAGGTAGGAGGGTCCTGATGCTTTCCACACCCCTCCCCGGAGCCTCACCCACCTCCCACCTGGCCTGGAGACAGTACCTTTGTCCAGGACGGGCCCGAAGATGGCCAGGCTGTCATCTATGGTGGTGCAGTTCCAGCGGCGGCCCCGGAACTGATGCTGGCACTCCTGGATGCCCAGCTTCACACCTTCGGCCACACTGGGCATGATCTCGATGTAATTGCGGCAGAAACGCAGTTGCTTGGGGACCAGGCCTGGGATGGAGCCGCAGAGCAGAGGCTGTGAGCCCAGAGATGTGTACTGCTGGCCCAGGGCCAGCGACCTGTGGGCAGACAGAGGGAGGTAGCACAGTAGACACAAAGCACATGGCCCAGCATGGGCTTCACTTCATGACCCTCTGGGGTAGGTGGAGGAATGGAGGGCCTGTGGGCCTCAACTTAAGGCCCTAAGAAACCTGGCATCTGCGTGTGCCACCTTTGGCTTCCTGGGAGCAAAACTGCCCCTCAAAGGGCAGAGCTCTGATCCAAGCAATGTCAGCTCCTAGCATAGACATATCATAGCCACAAAAAGGACCCTGGAGTGGAAAGATGGAATTTGGGACCCAGATCTGGACCCATTTTCCCTGACAGGTGTTGAAGGGGTCTGACTCTGCGCTCTTCTGGGAATTCAGAATTTGAGGGCCACATGGAAACTTCCAGAGATTCCTGGAAAAGAAGCCAAAACTAAAGAGAGGAAACCACAGAGGCTCATTTGACCCCAATTTATCTCTGAAAAATCAAAGAAGCATCAGTCCCAGCAGGGAGTCAGTATACATATATACACACACATACACACACACACACACACACCCCGCTGCAGTGCTCAAGTCAGCCTCTTCCCTAGAGGCTGCATGCTCAGTCTTACTCCTGCCTGTGACTCCCCAGGGAATACATGACCATCTTTCCAGTTCCCTGGAAGTTAGTGTGCCACCTCTCCTCTCACCTGGGCTATTTAGACCTCAGCTCTCCCCCCATACTATATGACATGAATCAAGCCACCTCAGTCTTTGCCCCTCATTTTTCAATCAGTATCCTGTCAATCTCTCGAATTTCAGAGTCTTGTAGGGAAGGGGTGGATAGGCAAATAGAATATATTAGAAAGCCAAGGAACTGTGGGAATCTCCACCATTCCCTCCCTCAGCACAGGAACAGTAGAAACAACATTTTGAGGGAGAAGCAAAGAAAATGATCAGTAGGTCTCAGTGTGTTTCAAGGTCAATTGTGATCAGTCATTTGTGATGGGGGCAGAGTGAGTAGGAAGAAGGAGCAGCCAGGGGTCATCTCTTCTTTTGAGTGCATCACCTACCAAGCCTTGAGAAAGGGGGTCCAGGAGAAGACCCCAGGGGTGGGTCAGGATAAAGCACACAAAAGCTTTCTGGGCGTGGCACCAGGAAGAACCCAACATCTGCCATCTATGGACTCTTGCTATGTGCCTGGCAGTCGGGATGCAACAGACGCGGTCAGTTCTTGAGTGAGAGGAGCATTTCCTCTCCCAGGTGCAGAAACGGGGCTTCGCAGAGGAACGAGCTCCCCCAAGGCATTTTGGTGCCAAGTCTGTGGCAGCTCAGATTATGCTGTTTGCCACCTTCCCCAATCCTTCCCTTAACCTTGGGCTAGCTCCTGGTTTCAGTCAGTTGACAGAGATTCTAAGGGAAGGGGCTCTCCAGGACCCCAGAGGTGTGCGCCTATCCGCCCTGGGCTGCCTCTGGGAGAAGCGGGCCCTCAATTATTCCACTGATTTAACTTGGAGGAGGAAACCAGGGAATGAAGTCTGGGAGTTCAGATGGTGGCACTGATGTGATCTCAACCACTGAGCCCTTTCAAAGAGAAGGAAGGAGGAGCCAGAAGTTGTGGCTTGTCATTGATAATGGCTAATTACCGACTTCCTCTGTGCCAGGCTGAGCCCTTTCCTTGGGTAAACCTCATTTAATCCTTATAACAACCTAAGACAGAGTAGGGTCATTACAAGCAGCCCTGTTTTCACCGACGGCTTAGCCCAGACCACAGAACAACTAGAGAGTCATGGAACCTGAGAACATTATGTAAAGTGAAATAAGCCAAACTCAGAAAGTCAAGGGTCAGATTTTTTTTTTTCTCATATGTGAAAGCTAAAGAGGAGGAAAGAAAAGACAGGTGGGGGGATCTTATTAAAAGGGAAGGGAAGGCTGGGGTTGTGGCTCAGTTGCCTCGCATGCGTGCATGCGTGCATGCGTGGGGCACTAGGTTCAATCCTCAGCACCACATAAATAAATAAACAAACAAACAAACAAATAAATAAATAAATAAAGGTATTGTTTCCATATACAACTAAAAAAAAATTGAAGAGAGATCAGTAGAATTGAGGAAAGGGACCAGGGGGAGGGAGGAGAGGAGGGAAAGGGGAAATCTTGGGGAATGATATTGACCAAATTATATTACACTGTGTGCACATAAGAACATCAAAGTCCACCTTTACATACTACTAAAGCACCAATAAAAAATGTCGGGGGGGGGGGAAAGAGTCACCCATTGGAACCCAGCTGCCTGATTCCAAAGTCCTGAGGGCAAACCGCTTACCACCCTGCCTCTTGGGTCCTGAGGGCTGAGGATGGCCTTGGGCCTACCTGTCTGCACCATGGGCCTCAGCCCTGAGCCCACACCTGAGTAGGGGAGCCCAGGTCCCTGATGGGCATGTGGCCCATGCAGCGCTTGACAGGGTGCTGCAGATCATCCTCCCCCGCCCCATTTATATTAATAACCAGAGCAATCAAATATCTGTTGTTTGTCGGGTGCCCACTTTGGGCCAGACAGTTTTGGGTGCTTGTGTTTGTTGCCTTATTTAATCCTCACAAGTTGGTGAGGTGGGAATGTCAGCATCATCACCATCATCCCATTTCATAGATGAGGAAACGGAAGCCAGGGAGCTAAGTAATCTGCCTGGGTCTGCAGGACTGTAAAGCACCAGAACTGAGCCTCCCTCCAGTGCTTCAGATCAAATCCATCCTGGTGCTCCTGACCAGCGTGTCCAGTGTCCAGCCTGCCCTGCAGGGGCAACTGGCCATCACTAGAAAAGAAAACCGAATGAGGGCTCGGGGTAGTGGGCTTGGCACAGCACGGTTCCATAACTCACCATCCCGAGTTGTTTTCCTTCTTCCCTCCAAACCCTGCTTCCTTCCTACTGCCCAGCTCCAACCAACTGTGCGCCCAGAAACAGTCTGCCACAAGTCACATCCAGCCTGCCACTTCCAGCCTGCTCATCTCAAGCGATTCCCTCTCCATGCCTCAGTTTCTTCATCTACAAAATAGACCTAATGGGGGAAGAGTGAATGGTATAATCCAGTGCCTGGCACATAGGAAGCCCTCCAGAAATGGTGGTCAGTTACCGTGTGTCCCTGCCTTGTCACCAACCACATTCTTCCCATCAATGAATCTCTGACATCAGAATTTCCAAATCCCCTTCCCATCTACCCTGGGAAGGACGCCCTGGATCAAAGCAAAGGCCCAGCCCCAGCAGCGCCGTCCTGACAGGGCTGGCTGGACAAAGACCTTCATGATCTGGCTGGGTGTTAAAGGTAACCCAAGGGCAAGGGCATGAGGACATTTCCAGGATGCTCCACTCAAAAGTTCTAACTCGGATCTGGACATCCTGCCGGTAATTAGCAAGGGCCTCTGGGGATGAAGATTTAGCTGTGGCCCATGGGACTGATTTCTGCAGGATCACGCGCCACCCCTGACCTGAGCTCCTGCCCACACACTGCTGTGTGTGACATTCTACCTCGGCCACCTCTGGTTGCCATTACTGAAGCACATGTGCCCCTGGGAGAGGAAACACAATGAGACTCTTTTCCCTCAAAGCTTCCTACCCATGCGTGAGGGGCTATGATCAGATTCACCTGCTGCTTCCCACCTCCAGGGCTTCACCACCTCAACCTTTGCGCCCTTTGGGCAAACATCTTCCCCATTCTTCAAAACCAGATTCCTGGGTCACCTCCATTCTAAAGACTCTGCCAGGCTCCCAGCCAGAAGTAACCTGTCCTTGTTCTGTAGGTTTTCTGTTCCATGTTCAAACCTTATCACAAAGTGCTCCACTGATTTCTTTCCAATTTCATCTGCCTGGGCTAGTGGAACTGCCCTAAGGATAGGGAGGGGTGTGTCTCCTCGGCCAAGCCACACACACACACACACACACCAGCACACTTGGCCTTCCACGGGGCTGTGCACGTGATACCCACTTGCTGATACTCCAGAAGGAGAGGAACGTGCCCCCCACTCCCCAGGCTCCAGGCATCCGGAGGTGCCACCTACACACAGGACGAGACTCCCCAGTGCCGTTAAGGAAGTCCCAAGCTAGGATCTAAGATGATGGCCAGGCTCCCAAGGGGAGCTGAGGACCTGCCTGGCACTAGCAGCTGGTGAGGGGGAGGCAGAGGGCCCTGCCAGGCCTTCCCAGCTGGGCCACGAGCTATTTATACCCAGCCCCTGCCCTGCCCTGCCCAAGGGCCCTGTGGCCTTTCCCTTGGGGCAGCTCATCCTCCACCCCAACCACCCACCGCCCAGCTGGACCCAGGATGGACACAGGCAGCCAGGCAGATGGGCAGCAGGTGCCAGCAAGCCATCGGCTGCTGCTGGAGACCTCGATGCTGACCTCCACGGTGAAATGGCCCCCGTCAAATAGGCCAGACTTAAAATATGTCCCCTGGCCTTATCAGACTCCTGTCACCCCAGTTCTTTGTCACTACATGGAGGACACCTTCTGTGACCAGAGGGTGGAGGGTAGGTCTGCCCAGTGAGCACAAGGCAGAGACAAAACGTTTAACCAAACAAGTCAGGTGGGCGCAGGCGTGGGATTGACTTGCACTTACAACATCGAGTGAGACACTGAGCAGAACCCTATGGTGTCCACGCTGCCTGGCCTGATGCTGGCGTTGCTGACACAGATTCTGCCTCCTCGAGCAGTGAGGGCATGCTGGCCATGCGTTGCATGGGCCATGCACTGTGCTGCTGTCACCACACTCCGCTCCATGACCCGTTAAGGTCTGGAGTCCTTTGCCCACCTGGGCAGCCTCCCCTGCACCCAAAGTTGGCGGTTTTTTAAAAAATACTTTTTATTTGCTTGTTTTACCTTAGAACCTTCCAGTATAGAATTTTAGAGATTGGAGGGACCCCGGGGGTCATCTAGTTCAGGTTCTCTCTTGTTTGTTGGCCATTTGTTTCCAAATGGGCTCATACCCAACCACCCTCCTCGCCCCTGTATGGAAAACAGATACGAAGAGGAGCCCTTTTCTCAAAAAGTTGAACAGAATTA